TACCAGGAGAGACTGAGGGAACTAGTCTAGAGAAGAGAAGACTGAGGGGGAATATAATAGCAACCTTCAGCTACCTGAAGAGGGATTCCAAAGAGGATGGAGCTAAACTGTTCTCAATGGTGGCAAATGACAGAACAAGGAACAATGGTCTCAAGTTGCAGCAGGGAAGTTCATGTTAGAAATTTGGAAGAATTTTCTCACTAGGAGGGTAGTAAAGCACTGGAACAGGTTACCCAAGTGGTGGAAGCTCCATCCTTGGATGTTTTCAAAACCCGGCTAGACAAAGCTTTGGCTGGAATGGTCTGGTTGGAGATGGTCCTGCTTTGAGCAGGGGGTTGGACTAGATGACCTCCTGAGGTCCTTCCAACCCTAATTTTCTATGATTCCCCCCCCACAATGCACACCCAACCTGCCACCTGCAGTTGAGCACTGGGCTGCCAGGCCACGGTCTCCTAACTTCCTCTGGGCAGCCCTACCCCCTGTGGAGGGGAAATCAGGGAGTGTCCTCTCCCTCCAGCATACACGCATGCACACACAGATAAGTTCTCTAGTTTGCCCTGGAGGGACTTACCTCTGTAGGAGCTCTAGGTCTAGATGTTGGTTTTCCCACTCCTTTGGGCTCCCTTATCACAAAGCCACATGCTGCCAGACTGCATGATCACTCCTACCATAAGAGGTGACCCTTGGCATCACACTGCAGTTCAGCTTCATGCTGTGCTAGCCACATGTTGCCATCATAATCTCTCTGACTAGTGCAACCTCCAACTGGCTATGGTATTTTGGAGCATTGCTCACTACACTGTCTTGTCTCCAGTCCTGCAACACAAATACAAGCCCTTAATATTATGCATGTCAGTAGTTCCACTGACATTAACAGAACTGATCGCATACTTAATATTGAGCCCAAGGATTTTTGAATGTCCACTTCTGATAGAGCACCCTTTAAACCAGGGCTGTCCAACTTCAGATTGGGCAGGGGCTGTGTACCCCACAGGCTGCTCCAAGAAGAGGCCACAGGTCCCAAGCTGGTGCCCCACACACTCAGGTGCTGCCCCCCAGTACTCTGCATGGTGTGGCACCCTGCTTCACCTTCAGTTCCTTGCAGACTTCTCTGTGGCATCAAGCTATATGGGTACTCCATGCTACCACCATGCTGCTAGGCATCTTACCAACTTGCCCTGCCGCCTCAGAAGCCAGGGGAAGGAAGGGGAGCCCCAAGATCCCAGCTGCTGCAACAGCTGAAGCAATAGGGGCAGCAGCTGGACGTGACCCCGAGGGCTGTATGTGAACCATCGTGGACCTTGTGTTAAGACTTCCCTGCTTTAAAAAATAGATCCCTAAAGCTATTTAATACTTTGTCTTTCATATTTTTATCTCTGTTCCCATTCTGATGTTTATAAGCATCTTTTCAGCAAGGGAGAAGCTGACTATACGTAAGGTCCCATCACATGCGTAAAACACAGCAGCTAAAAAAAAGAGAGGAAAATAATTTTAACTTTAGCCTTTTGCAGTAACATCATCTTAGTCAATGAGTTGTAACTAGAATAGACACAACATTTTCAGCCTGTATTGTGGTGTTTTTTTCTTTTATGGCAAGCAAATGGTGTTCCTGGAATATTCCTAGCAACTGAGGAAGTAGGTTGTTGCCTTCAAAAGCTCCTGCCTCTAAATCAGTTAGTCTTTCAGGTGCTACCCTGCGCTCTACCCTCTGCTTTGAATATTACTGTTATCCATAGACAGTGCAGACTCACCATGTTTCACACATTTGAAGGGAGTTTCTCTCATTTTTTGGGTTTATTTTAAAGCAGATTTTTGTTATTGTTATGTACTTGCATGCTTAGAGATGGTGTATGGTTTAATAAGACACAGATAAATCCATTTTTTATTTTAAAAAATTCTTTAAAGTATCACAGTTGTACTTTATGATGGCCCAGAAATTATGGGGAAAAGATTCATTTGTTGTTTTTATGTTTAAAGACCTTGTGAAAGATCATTTCCCTGTTTTTTCCTGTACAAATTAGCGGACCAGTCCTGTGTGTGCTTCTGCATGTGTGTAACTTCATGATTGTAAATTCAGAGGGGCTGTTCTTTCATAAAGATAATCAATGGCATAAGTGTCTGCAAGTGTCCTTTTTTTGTGCTTTAATAGCTATTCATTGTTTGTGTGCCCCGTGATTATCAATGGATTTTATTATTGCAACAGTCTTTCCAGATAGGGAAATATGTTCCCTATTTCACAGATGAGAAAACAAAGCGGAGAATAGATGAAGGGACTTGCCAACAAAGGAAGTCTTTGGCTGAGCTGAGAAAAGAAGGTAGGGCTCCTGAACCCTAGTTCAGAGCCATACCCACTACTTAACCCTTCAGCAGAGTTACTGTGCATCCTTGGGATGTATCATGTATATTTCTCTACGACCTTGAATCCGTACATGGGTTCAGTGAGTAGTTTAGCCATAGACAGCCTTGTTGAAGTCAGTGGGGTTCTACTCCCAGTTTCAATATCCTTTGTGTGTTTGCATCCAACACTAGGTTAAAATGGTCCTCACTTGAAGGAAACGTTTCATGGAAAGGTCCTTAGGGAAACAGAGCTGTAAAGGGGGAAGGGGGACTCATCAGTCAGAAGGTCATGTAAAAATTGCAGTAGCACAGCATACAAGTACAGTATTTAGCAAGTTTCATGTGAAATAAATCCAGTTGTGTACCACCAAATACTTATTTTGGGGGTACCATTGTGATCCAGGTCTTCAGCTCTCCTACATCAGTGTACCTTTAATAACTCTTTATGTGACAGACAGTACAAACTGTAAGTAGACAGAAGTGAAAAAAGTAAAATAGTGTGTCTAGTTCTTACAAACCCTTTTTACCCATTAATCTCCCCAAAACCTACCTTTCCAATTCATAGTGTGAGTGTCACTTCAAGATAATTTTACAGCTGCTGCCTAGTGCTTCATTGTGTTATAGAAACATGGTAATATAACTTGAAGTAAATACAAATCGCCTTTAATCAAGGCCTCTTGTTTCCTCTACTTTATTTTTGCAGACAGCTGAACGTGTTCCAGCTGTGTTATCAGATGCTATAACTGAACTGAGATGTGGCATTTGCAGTTATGCTCTTTGTTTTTTGTAGTCCAAATTTTGTGGTATTACCTGTGAAAGAGTTCTAGGGATCGATTGTCCCTTCCCTGCAGGGAATTGCCCATTTAAAAGCATTAAAAGTACTCTTAAGTAGACCCCTAAAAACGGAGGGAAATCAGCAGTTGCCTGTATGTCACAGGGATCCATGAATGTGTCTTTTAATTGCTTTAAAAGGGAGGGGAAGCTGGTGGTCCTGAGTACCCACCAACTGCTACAGTATAATTGTTACCTCCTGTAGTGATACAAGTTTGCTCAATCACTGTAACTTTAACCCTGAGTGAAAGGGTAAGAGTTGCCACAATTCTATTACATTTGTATC